TTGGAACGATTTTTCATTCATAGGTAATGGCCCGTCTAATTCTGATGTGTTACAATATATGCCTAGAACTTTATCTGTTCCCTGTAGGAAAATCCCAATAAAAGAAAATCATTATCTCAGCAATCACAACAATTTATCAAACACTGAATGACTTGATTAGATAGAAATAAAGTCTAGCGTGAAAAGCATATATAAAAAACTTACAGTATGACCTTCAAATACATCATAAATATCCGTTGCATTCATCAAAAATCGACGTTCTCCAGGATTGTGAATCGACTCTTCACGAACAATTTCTTTACCCAACTTTTGCAGCAAAATGTGCATTTTTACAGTCTCTTGTGGTCCGATTAAACGTACGAGTGCCTTTTCAGCTAGCGTTGTAATGCTAATTCTGGCACCGAGAGGCAGCAAACTTTTGATATTATTGACAGTTTCACCGTTAAATAAACACGCAATGTAGAGAAACATATCTTTATCATCTTTTTCATCTAACCCATCATAACTGATTCTTAAAGTTTTATCAATTTGCCCATTCAGACCATTTCGGAGCTTGGGCATCACCTCCACCCAATACTTTTTGTCCCTCCCTCTCAAATACAAACCCAAAGCGTTGAGACCCAAAGGAAGATTACCGGCAAGCCCTGCAACTTCAGCAGCTAGCTTCATAAAACCATCAGGTGGAGAGGGTTGCCGAAAAGCAGATTGACAAAACATTTGAAGAGCCAAATCTACAGATGGGAACTCCACCTCATATATAAGATCAATCTCATGTGACTTGAGAATTTGCCTATCTTGAGTGACCACAACAATTCTGCTTCCAAATCCAAACCATTCGACTTTCCCCACCAAAGTCTCTAGCAGCTCTATTTCGTCGACATCGTCAAGAACGATAAGAACTTTCCTGTTCTTTAGCCTTTGTTTCACATGACCTAAACTTTCTATCTTTATGTCTTTTTGGCCAAGAATCTCTGATAAAAAATTGTTTGCCCAAGCCAGCCGCATGCGAACGTCGGGTGTCTTTTTGTCTTGGATGTCTCTCTTATAATTTAAGAAAGCTCGATGGTCGAATTGGGTAGAGAGTCGATTGAAAAGAGCTGTAGCAATGGTAGTCTTACCAATCCCTGAAGGACCCCAAATCCCTACCATTCTCACTCCCCCAGATTCCAAACACAACTTTGAATCCATAATTGCCTCTACGTGAGCTTCAATCCCCACGAAGTCACGAAAATCATCCGACGGTGTCAAAAGAAGTTTTTTCAACACATCCTTGGAGATTTGTTCAATCATCGTTGAATCGTCACTCCTA